AAAAAAAAAAAAAAAAAAAAAAAAAAAAAAAGAATTAACCATTAATTGCCTTACTGACTATACCAAAGATTACCAATACTACTGATATCTTTGATTAGTTTGAAATATTGGAAATATTATAATTCAGGTTGGGTCAGCATCAAATCTTTTCTTTATTAAAATCTTTAATTGGCTAATTTTATAAACAAACTGTCAAAAAAAAACAAATATAATAGCCTTTCGGATAAATTAGTAAGAAAGGGTACCACAATGATTGTTGTCAAGAGAAGTTCATTTAAGAAGGAGAAATTTCTTGTGGGCAATATCTATTTAACAATCAAATTTTCCTTTTTTAACTGTCATTGGCCAAATTTTGCACCACATAAAATGACAGGCCAGTTGGAGAAAAAGCAAAATCATGGCGGCTATATTCAATTTAGTCAGTTTTTCACAACATTTTTAATATAAATTTGAAAGTCTGAGCAGACCACAACAATATGAAGTTCTTAAATTTTTAAACTGTCTTACATAAATTCGTCCAGGATTTTCTGATCACTCGCTGTTATTCTAATAAAATCAAAATAATTTTAAAGAAAAGAAATTTAAACTAACAAGCACCAGCAGAGCTTCAGTGCAGAAAGCAAAAGTAGTTATTTACATAAGGATAGATGTTGTATAGTTTTAAAAGTGATTTTATCTATAGTATCTCACATTTATTCCTCACAGTAACCCCATACAAAGTGTCTTATATTTATCAGCTTTGTAAATTAGGTAACGAGATTTTAAAAGTTGAACAACTTGTCTAAAGTCACGCTGAGCTGTGACTACATCCCAAATCTTCTGATTCCTATCTTCATGCTCTAAAAATCCACCCTTATCTGCCAGAACTTCCAGCAATGGGAGACAAGAAAAGGCAACCAAGAGGTCCCTAGGGTATAATCCAGAGTGAGACATGGGGGTTAAGGAATGAATTCACAAGAGGCTCCCCAGTACCTCCTTCCACCAGGGGGACTACTAGCTCCAGTTCTGTAAAGATTCTTGTGGGTATGTCCTAAAAGTCAGAGGAACTATAGGAATCTTCATTAACTCTAAAGTCTCCTGCTGGAAAACCCAGGCTACTGCCCCACAGCAAATCCTTACCAAGTTTCCAGGGAATGAAATCTATTCTATATGCAACAGTCACAAAATCCCTAATTATATTTATTTTTATTGTTACTTTACATGTGACATCTATAGAAACACTCTGCTCTTCACATAGGAATTAAAATGTGTCACTCCTCTCTCAATATGGCACCAAGGATACAGCCCTAAATAAAAGCAGAAAGCCCCCAAATATTTGTTTAATGATGATCTACAGCTAAAAATAAAAGCAAGTCTTATTCTTTGGCGGGAATTACGGGCCACACCACATCTTAAATCTCACTGAGATACACTGAAAGGTCTGCACTTTCATATATAAAATCTGAAAAGGAAAGATAGGACATAAAAGCTACAAGTATGGACAAGATTTAGATGATAAAATAAATAATAAATGCAATAACTGAATATTAGCACCCAAAAGAGTTCATGTACATTTATATTAGATTAATTTTTTAAAAATAGTGTCCAGAATCAGGGAGGTTGGAGTTCTAATCTATTTATTCCATGCTAGAGTACTGCACTCGCTGTCGGACTTCAAGATTGATCCTGATAAACAGGACCTCATCAGTAACAGAGGGCAGTAAGAACAGAAACCGAGATCATACATGGGAAGGGCATCAGTTAAATCCATTAGAGCTGCCTCAAAACAATGTATTTCCTCAGTAGTTAGCAGTATTGGCTCAACCAAGTGCCATGAAGGGCTCACAGCAGGACAAATTCAAGCACTGGAGAGGGAGTCGTACCACATTAGTGGTTCCGAAATGGACCGGCTATATCAAAATCATCTAGAATGCTCACTGAAAATGTGTATCGCTGAGTCTCACCTCATATCTAATGAATTAGGAATTCCAAGGTCTAACTACTATGCACGTGTATTTTTTTTAGAAGTATGTCAGGTGGTTCTGGAATTCTATGATTCATTAAAAAGTTCATTTAAAAATTCATTATAAATACCACATTAATTAAAACTGTGGCGCTTTTTTCTAAATAGTAAAGTCATACCTAATTGACTCTTTCCATTTTGTCAGCATATTAGAGGAATATCTAAACTAAAAAACTACAAAGAGAAAAGAAACAATTTTTCTGCCAAATACTGCAAAATTATGAATATAGGTTTGCATGTATTATAGATCTTACAAAATAATGTATTAATACATAATTCATTCCAGTGAAAGAAATAAATCATACTTGACATACTTGAAAAGGCTTTTTTTTTAAAAAAAAAAAAAAAAAACAAAATCTATACAATTTTCATTACTCTCATTTTAAAAACTTACTAGTGGTAATTAAAAGGTATTAATAGTTCCTCCAATTATTTATTACATTCTGACTGAACTCCATCCGAACACTCACTGTGTACTGCAATGCCAATAATAAAGGCGTGTGCTCCACCATGGAGCTTCCGATAGAGTAGTTACAAGAAGTGAAGCACATATGATGCTATACTTAATTAGGAAATTTTAAAATACAGAAGGAAATCTCCATTTCCTTATTATTACTGAGGTACAAACAAATTCCTACCTCATTTGTTTTAAGGGTAGTTGAATGTTAAATTTACTGAAGTTGGTTAACTGCACTGTGGTTATGTAAGAGATATCCCCTTTTAGGAAATATACATTGAAGTATTTAGGAGTAAAGGGATATGATGTAGACAACTTACTCTCAAGAGGTTAAAAAAAATCATGTATGCATATGTGTGTGATATAGGATGAAAGAGAGAGAATATAAATGACAAAACATGGGATAAAATGTTAAAAATAAATCTGGATAAAGTTATATAGAGGTTTTTATAATATTTTTAGTTTTAGAACTTTTCTACATGTGTGCACTTATTTCAAAATGAAAAGATTTGTAGAAAGTAGAAGAATGGAGATAAATGGGGGAAAAAAGAATGTTGATCACTCTTGAAGATGGGTTATGGGCAGATGGGGATTCATTCTTCTACTATGTCTACTCTGTACATCTTTAGAGTTTTCCATAATAAAACATCAGAGAAGAAAAATAAGGAGTGTATGAAATCATGTATGTTAAGTGGCTACTACAGTGCCTGGCAAACAGAAGACTCAGTAAATGACAGATACTATATAACTGAGTTATAACTGAGTTCACATCTATCTTGAGTGTAGACAAGTATTCGCTTTTGGTATTTAATTATACACAAGTATTTACTGACAGTCCACAGATGTAGGGTGCTCTCCTGGACACTAGTAGACACCCATGCAAGTCAAGAGCAGCTTACAACACTCGAGACTCAAGTGATCACGACCACGAAAGGCAAATCAGCAAAAAGCTCAGGAGTCAAGGAACTGAGCTCAAATACAAGCCAACATCATCTCTTTCCTATGTAATCTTAAGACAAAATAATGCAATAACTAGGAACATCTCTTCATCTATCCTATTAAGAGTAAAACCATCTATTTCAGATAGATGAGCTTGCTATGAAAATGAAGTGAGATGCTCAAAAAGTTGCTCTCTAAACTCGCGTTACATAAACGCTAGCTTTCACTGTGTCGTACGCAGAGCCAACGTGGGGAGAATGATGAGAGTACGTAAATAACTAGAACACAGAGTGTTAAGTGTCACAAGAAAAGATCACTAGAGGGGCAAAGGAAGTCTTTATGGAGTAGGCAGAGCTCAAGAAGGACCTTAATGGAAGCATGGGCAGGAAATCAAGACTCAAAAAGAGGAGAAAGTAGGACTTGAAGTTATGAAACACTCAAGAGAAGGCATGAAAAGGCAGAGTGTCAGGATGCAACAAAGTAACAGAATCTTTCCTAGAGTCTGGGAAACAAACAGTAGAATAACCAAAAATACATCTGTAAAAGTGAGAAGAAATTGGAGAAGGCCTTGCCTGACTCTTAGGAGTGTCCAGGCATGTGGCTCACTAGTCATCCGGACTCCAGTTCTACTGAAGGATTATTCTCTTCTCCTACCAGTGCCAACAAAACTTAACTGTCCAAAACTGTGAACTTTTTTTTTAAATAAGGCACTCTGTTTCAAAGGAAATAATTTAAGCAAAACATACAAAGTACATACTGCTATAAAAGGAAATGCTTGCTATATCCAGGAAAAATTTAATCCCAATAAAAACGAATATAATTCAAAAGAGTTTATAATTTACATTTGGCTTTGGAATGTAAATTTTTTCAATGAGGAACTTCCAAGTCATATTTTTCTCAAGCCAATACTAAAGTAAGAAAATTCCTTAACTACCAACCAAAAGATCATCAAAAGTGATCACACAACTAAAGTCAAATTTTGGCAGCTTGATTGACTTTCCTGGAATGTAGTTTAATTTAAAATTACATGACTGTGATCATTTTTACATTTCATTTTGCCCACGGTTAGAGAGCTGTGCTTTTTACGAGAGTGTCCTTTTGTTGTTTTTTATAATCCTTTGAGTCGGATACTGTGAAATAATGAATCCATAATTACTCTATTTTGATTTACACTTTCATATGAATAGTTTTATGAAGACTTAGGAAGAAAGCTATGTAAAATATCTTGTGACTATAGTACACTAAAAACCATAAATCTATTTTAACATGCTTCACTGAATATTAAATTTTTAAATGGTGAGAAAAAACACCATAGAAAGTTATGTGGAAATAATCTCAGAGATCATCCCCCCCAATCAACCTTACCGTTAGATAGACAAGGAAACTAAAAGCTAGGAAAATTAAAGGAATTCCTTATAATATGCTGCTATCTAGTCAGGAACAGCTCCAAAATTTAAATTCAAGTTTTTCAGCATCTGAAACGCTAATGACACCATATTCAATACTGGGCCTTCCTTTTGATATGACACATAACTAAAAGAAAAATCAAAAACTATGTACAGATCTATGCTTCCTTTAAAAAAGACAAACACTGCCAAGTATTCAAATGTTTTAAAGAAAGCAATTATGAACTTAAACTGTCTCCCCCAAAAAAACTTCTAACCATATCAGAGTATTGAAAAATACTCAGCTTTAAATACTCATACCAGTTTAATAATCAAAAAAAGAAAACACTAACAGATTAATTAAGCCTTCCCATGGGACACAAAAAGTTATTCTTCATCCGAAATAATGAGAGCACTGGATAGGAATAACTCAAAGGAACCTATGCAGGTTTGGCATTCTACGTAGGCTGCTCAGCATGAAGGGAGAGAGAGATCACAAATGTGATTCAATTCATAGTATCAAAAGAAGTCAAAGGAAGACAAATTTAAGACAGTGGTTTACTGATCAATTCCTTAAATCAACAGAATAAGTCTACTATTTTTTTAAGAGGTCTTTGAATCCAAAGAAGTTTCCAAGACTTATTATCTAATAAGTTATCCCATAGTGTTGCCATTTCACAGCAAGCTGATGTCCCAGGCTGAGTGTGGAGGGCACATGCCACACCCATAATTCAGCTGTGGAATCAGCTCCACCTGAACCCTGCACTACGTGATTAAGCAGAGAGCAAGAGTAAGGAGCACCCAGGCAGACCTCACAAATGCCGAACTGTCACTCTAGTTTTCGTGTCTTCTTCAGAATAAAGCAAAAGTTCCATTTATATAACCTCAAGTGACCAAGGCCCTCCATGCTAACAACGGGGAGAACCAGAGGTGCTCTTGCACTTCTGCTGCCTTTAGGTGTGAGCCAGAAATGAGGACTTATTGTAAGGTAGGGATGAGCTTTCTTCAGTTATGAAATCTGCACCCAATTGGAAAAACTCAAGTTTGTGCCACTTCAGAGTTTATTACAAAACTCTTCAAAATGTGCTAATTTGACACTGAAAAAAGCACTGAGTACAATAGGAAAACTACACTTAGTGATATAAAATCCAAACCAAAAAATAGCCTAAAATAACCTAAAATAAAAAGATTTCCTCTTATAACACAAACAGAAAAAAGTTTCTAAAGGCTTAATTTTAATTTTATTGTATAGCCAGAACTCATGGAACATGCATATTTATGCATAAACATTCTTCCTGAAAAACAGTGTTTTGTAGGTAAATAATCTATCATTACAGCATATATTTAACATAAATCACTGCACAGAATGGAAAGATTAGTATTTTAATTACTTTTCATTTTCACATTTAGCCAGCTGTGCAGATTCAATATAACTATTAATGGCAGCAGCCAAGTGAACAGAATTTACTATGCCTAATTAGACAAAATTTATGTGCACCAAGGAACTGAAAAAATCTGATAAGACTTACTTGCTACTCCTGATGCAAGTCCATAAAGTAGTCCTCCCCCATCCGACTGCTGAGAAAAAACATGGGCTCCTGGAGGAGGCGGCTTTTCTTGTCTGATAAAGTTATACAGTAAGGTTTTCACAAGTTTGCTGGTGTACGGAAGACTACACAAAAAGGAAAAAAAAAATCAAACTTACATTAGATACAGGGGTCATCTAATTCTACATAATGGCACATAAATAATTCTGCTATTAATAGTATCTATTAATACAAAAGAGTTGATAGCACAATTCAAAGAAATCTAGCACTGTCACGTAACGGCAAAGATCATGGGCTTTAAGATCAATTTTGAGGCTTAATTCTGACTTTGCCTCTTATCACACCATAAGACGTTGGTCAAATCACAAACTCTTGAGCTTCGCTTACTTTATCTGTACTCTCTATAACATGGTGAGATATTATAAATTTTGTGCATAATACATTACGTGGCACCTGAAGGAACGCAGTAATACAAAATCAGTAGGAAAAGCGAGAACTAAAAAATAACAAGGCTACACTTTTTCAGTATGAAATTATTCAATTTATTCAATTACTCAACTGGCGATCAAACAACTCCTGCAATCTAGAGTAAACTTTTTACGACTCTTGAATGCACTATTTATTGAGCTTTTTAGACAAAGCTTCCAAGATGAATGACAAAAATCAGTAAAGAACATACTATGGTTTAAATATTTGGCATCACAGTGATACTATAAAAACCTTACTTAGAAAATAAGAAGACTAATATTCTCTCTGACTATTAAAAAGGCAACTTCAACACTTTCAGCATTGCAAGGAACGAAGTTCACAGCACGGTGCACACAGCCCCACAATGCCAAGCACTACTTCAAACCAAGCTCATTTTGAGTGTCACTGTCAGAGAGGATTCAGGTGCAAACCTTCCGATTCCAAAGCCCATGCCCTTTCCCTCTTATCAGTAATTTTCAAATGTTCAAAAAACATATGTGCCACAGGTATATCAGGGTAGCAAGAGGGATGTGGAGATGGTAAAGCTACCCAGTACCTAAGAACTTTAATCCAGGGTACTTCAATTGGATTTGCTTTACATGTAAAGTTTTGTGAAGATTATGTGAATACAAGGTAGGGTGTGTGCATATGTATTATTTAATATTTTTCTATTCCCATCCCCGCCCCCTAGGAGATTGTAAAATTCTGCTCAAGAGCATAGCCCCACAGGCTAACACATGCCTGGTACGCGGTCAGCACACAGTATTTGTAGACTCAATGAAAGTAGGAACATATAGTGAAGAGGCTGCTGGAGTAGTCCAAACACATGGTGATGGGACATAAGATTACAGTACAGCAGTTTTAAAGGGACTGGTGAGAGGGGGAAGATACAAAAGTAACTTGAGTAAAAAAATATGACTTGACTGCTTAGACACAGAGAATGAAGGAGAAGAAAGAAAAAGAAAGAGGATTTAGTGTTTCAATTCTGCAATGCAACCGCTAGAGAAGGTAACAAAGCTAGGGAACAGGAAGGACAGCGGGGATAGGTAGATTGGACAGGAACACAGGATTTGATTCCTTATGCATTGGATTTGAAGTAACGACAGAACAATCAGAGGAAACATCAATGCTCGGATAAGAGGACAAGACTAGAAATACAGGCTGGGTGCGGTGGCTCATGCCTGTAATTCTAGCACTCTGGGAGGCCGAGGCGGGAGGATCATTTGAGCTCAGGAGTTCGAGACCAGTCTGAGCAAGAGCGAGACCTTGTCTCTACTAAAAATATAAAGAAATTAGCTGGACAACTAAAAAATATATAGAAAAAATTAGCCGGGCATGGTGGCACATGCCTGTAGTCCCAGCTACTAGGGAGGCTGAGGCAAAAGGATTGGTTCATCCCAGGAGTTTGAGGTTGCTATGAGCTAGGCTGATGCCATGGCACTCTAGTCCAGGCAACAGAGTGAGACTCTTGTCTGAAAAAAAAAAAGACTGTAAATACAGACTTAGACTTACACAATTAAAAAACTAGATATATTTAAAATAGAAACATACCATGGACCTCGCATCAAATATTTGTGGCTGATGCTCTGTCGCAAAACTTCCTTGTGGAAGAGTTGGCAGGAAAGGAAAACCACCATTGTTGATATCGCTTCTACTGATATTTCATATGTAATATCTCTGGAGAAGTGGGAAGAAAACAGAATAATGATCACTTTGCAAGATAAAAGATATTATTCTTTTCTAAATAAACTGCACACGAAAAAACTCAAATCTAAATATTCAACATTTTCAGGTTATTGAAAAATAACATAAAAATCAAATCAGGCAAAAAAACAAAACTCTTTCCCAGTCATTAGCTCTTTTATTTGGGTCAGGTATCCATTATTTCCCCGTTTTCCATTTCCCATCTCCTATTAAATGACAAGTTGCCAGCAGTGTTCTGCTTTGAAGATCCACTCTAGACCTCTATGATCATCTCTGTTTAGTAACAACACGGAAACAAATACTCAAACACTGCACAACTGAAGAGACCACACAGTGTAGGGAAGAAAACAATGCCTTTTGGTACTAATAATCACTTTACAACCTGAACAATGGTACACCCTACAGATCTTTTGTCTGTAGGGTCCATTTTCTCAAGGCCAACTTTGCATGTTCAGCAAAATATTAACAGTAAATAAATTATTCCTGTTTTATTAAGCATATTCCTACTATGATGGACTACCCTGTCCTCCCCAGATCATTAATCCCTTTTAGAAACAAATCTTATATCAAATAAAAAGGAAAAATTTTAGCTGAGCAAAAAGCACAAACAGGAATAAATGTTATCCAGGAATTTTCAGTCACTGCAGAAGTTTAAACAGAATTATAATGCGAAACAGTAACATGTTAAAGACGAGGAGAGTAGAAACCTCAACAATACAGCAAAGAGAGCAACAGCTCCAAAAGAATATCAAAATATTTTTATAAAACTGAAATATTCATGAAAAGTTCAAAGAAAAGTACTTAAACCCTGCTTAAATGAAGGTTTATTAAACAAATTAAAGATGACTTGGATCCAGAGCTGGACAAGCTTAAATTCTACCAGATATTGTAAGGAATTATTAGTGATGGAGATGTATTTAAAAAACAAAGTATACAAAACACAAGAAGAGGCCCAGGCAATTGACCTTGCCGTGTAATGAATAAATCTGTTCTACTCAGAAATCTAACTTTTAAAGTATTATGGAACAATTCTCTCTCCTGAAATTTCTATAATTACTGTTGAAATATTAACTACATAAAAAGCAATTCTTGTATTTGTTCTTATTCATGAACTGAATAAAAGACAAACCAGATGTTTCAGGTCATGTTATGATTCATCAATGGTGATTTCAGTGCTCGGAACCGAAAAAGATTGTGTATTGTAATAATCATTCGTTCGTATAGCCCGTGCCTGTCAGGAATCCATACTCTCGTCAATTGGCTAGGCTTTCCAGTCGGGTCAGAGTTTAAAGTCAAATCCCGAAGTAACAAATACCTTGCCACGATTAAAGCCTACCTAGATAGGTAGGTAGATGACTACCTCCAATACATTTGCAAATAAATTCAGTCATTGCATCAATAACCAATAATCAGCTATAGCTGTTTACAATTTAACAACTTATTCTATGTCCCAGATCCAGAAACAAATTGTTTTAGTTTGTTTAAAGTAAAAACTATGACTATTGAATACTAGGTCTAATAACCTTGGGGAAAGAGTGTGTGTGCAGAACAGAGGGTTGCTCTCCTCCAAAATGAATTGGGCCAAACAGAATCACAAGTGGGAGAACAGAAAAAGTGTTAACCCTTGGATCAATCATCCTCTCTTATGACGAAATTTTGTATCATAAATGGTACTAAAGATGACTGATATTTTTAAAAAGTCAGCTTCAAAATAAGAAAACCAAATTTGATTTCTGCCGATCTGGGAAAAAAAATGATATAAACAGAAAAACCTATGAAATAGCCATTTAAGAAATACATTTTAAAGATACACATGAGTATAATGCAATTACTCATCAATTGCTGCTTCCTAGTTACTATGTTCCCACATCTCCCAAGACCGTGTGATGGCTCCAACTTCCCCTTCTGTGCCCAAACCACTTGGTTAACTCACAGTCATCACTCAAGACTGTGGACTTCCCCGAGCGCGGTGGCTCATGCCTGTAATCCTAGCACTGTGGGAGGCCGAGGCGGACGGATTGTTTGAGCTCAGGAGTTCGAGACCAGCCTGAGCAAGAGCGAGATCCCGTCTCTACTAAAAAAAAAAAAAAAAAATAGAAAGGAATGTCTGGACAACTAAAAATGTATAGAAAAAATTAGCCGGGCATGGTGGTGCATGCCTGTAGTCCCCGCTACTCGGGAGGCTGAGGCAGTAGGATCGCTTGAGCCCAGGAGTTTGAGGTTGCTGTGAGATAGGCTAACACCACGGCACTTACTCTAGCCAGGGCAACAGAGTGAGACTATGCCTCAAAAAAAAAAAAAAAAAAAAAAAGACTGTGGACTAGCTTCACCCTTCCAGAAAACCTTCCCTGACCCACCAGGGAGGTTAACGGGGTTCCCATTGTATATATACTTTAAACACCATTATTATGATGCTTTTTATGCTCTGTAGTCTACATCATATAATAAACATGTTGAATTAAAAAATTCAACTGATAGTAGAAAATAAATGAAAAATATAATAAATCATGGCTTAAATATTAACTTATAGAACGATAAAATATTTAAAGAAAATACAAGGATTGGGGTTACTTCCATTTTCAGCAGTAATGGACAGGAAATTCGTAAGAACTTTCCTGATGATGTCAGCAAAAACCACTAGGGGGCAGAGGGGGGAAGAAAGGGCACTTCCTAAAAGCATCAAAGAGCTAACAAAATATTGAAGGATTATAAGGCCAAGATTTAAGGCACTAGGAAAATCTAGAGCTCAGCCTGACATTTGGAATTGCTGTGGCCCAGGGCATGTTTACTGACCCATAAGAGGTAGCTAGAAATCTGAGTAAGGCTTTTGGCAGGGTTGAAGGTCTGGGGGACGAAAGCTGGAGTCCAAGGGTTCAAACCCTGGTAATCTATAACAATCCAGATCAAGCAGGTTCTACTTAGTAACATCACCCAAAGGCCCATGCAGGGAGGGAAACTCTGTTACCCTTTGCCTGTGCTTCAAAGTTTGCTCCAGTTGTCATAATTTCCCACCACAGAAAAGTGAGAAAAATGCACTCCAAGGCAAGCGTTTTTTGGGTTTTTTGTTTGTTTGTTTTTGAGACAGACTCTCACTCTGTTGTCCAGGTTTGAGTGCAGTGGCACTATCATAGCTCACTGCAGCCTCAAACTCCTGGGTTCAAGTGATCCTCCTGCCTCAGTCTCCCGAGTAGCTACGAGTATAGGTGCATGCCACCATGCTCCGCTAATTTTGTTTTGTTTTTTGTAGAGACAAGACATATTGCCTGGGTTGGTCTCGACCTCCTGGCCTCATGCTATATCCCCCCCAACTTGGCCTCTCAAAGTGCTAGAATTACAAGTGTGAGCCACCATGTCTGGCCATTTCTTTTTAAATAATGTAAAAGCTGCATGTATCACTTCTTCTGGTACACCCAACACCTAGCTACAAGGAAGCCTGTGAAATGTCATCTCTACCGGGAAAGCCATTGTCCAGCTGAGCTCCTAATATTAAAATAGTAAAGAAGAGGATAATGAGTTTGGGGGACTACTGACAATCTATGACAATTTTAAGAAAGATGACCTCAATATGAAGTTGACATTTGAGCAAAGACTTGAAAAAAGTATAGGGGCAAGGGAAGAGTCTTCCCGGTAGAGGGACAAGCACATGCAACGGCCCTGAGTTAAGAACATGCCTAGTATATTTAAGGAACAGCACAGAGATCAGTGAGGCTAGACCAGAATGTGTAAGAAGGAGAGTAATAAGAGATAAGGTCAAAAAAGTAGTAAGAAGTCAGTTTATAGATCCTAAAGCCTAAACTCGATGAAAGATTGATAAATTCAAATTGTTCAAATTCGTTTTTAAAAATTCATCATTTCATAAAGAAAAATATACTAAGTCAAAAGGCAAACTGAAAAAAATATATGCTTTAAATTCATGTCACAAGGGCTAATCTTTCTAATACAAAAAGGGTCTTAGAAACAGATACAAATAGAGGCTCCAATACAAAAATGAGCAAAGGATATGAGCCAAAAAAAAAAAATGTTAATAGCCTTAATGTCTATCAATAGGGGAGTGTCTAAATACATTTTGATATTGACCTACAACAGAGTATTTCTAGTTTTAAGGAACAATGAGTAAGGATGTAGAAAAATTGAAACCCTCATACATAGCTGGTAGGAATGTAAAATGGTGAAGCCACTACAGAAAAGGTTTGGCAGTTAACCCAAACTGTTAAACACAGAGTTACCATGTCACCTAGCAATTCTACTCCTAGATGTATACCCGAAAGAACTGAAAACATATGTCCACACAAAAACTTATAAATGAATGCTCATCGCAGCATTATTAATAATGGCCAAAAAGTAGACATGTTCATCAACCGATGAATGGATAAACAAAATGTGATATATAGATACAATGGAATACTTCTCAGCAATAAAAAAAAATGATGTACTGATAAATGCTGTAACGTGGATGAACCTTGAACACATTAAATGAGGTAAAAGAAGCCAGACACAAAAGCCACATATTGTATGATTTATATAAAATGTCCAGAATAGGCAAATCCATAAGACAGAAAGCAGATGAATGGTTGCCAGGGGTAGAGGGGAGGGACAAAGGAGGAGTGACTGCTAATGAGCATGGAGTTTCTCTTTGGGGTAACAAAATGTTCTGGAATGAGACAGTGGTATGGGTTTCACAACTTTGTGACTGTACCCAAAACCATTCAATTGTATACTTTGAAAGGGTGAATTTTTTGGTATTTGAAATATATCTCAATAAAGTCATTATTTAAAAAAGAAAAATGAGAAAGCTCTCTAAATGCTTGTGTAAAATGACTGCCAGGATAGACTTAACTGGAAAAAGACCAAAGTTCAAAACGATATGTAGAATTTCCTGCCTTTTGTGTGAAAACAGGGTGAAATAAGACTATATTCATAACTGAACATACAGATGCTCCTTGACTTATGATGGGGCTACATCCCAATAAGCC